TCGCGTGCTTGCTCGGCTGACGGTTGTTAAATTTTATATTGATGCGGGCCGATGTGTGCGAGAGGCGAAAACACGTATCGAAACATTTTCATGCATAATCATAACGTGCCTTTCTAAGGTGTAAGGACGACGATAGAGATCTCGCGTGTGTCCCGTAATAGGATTTTAGACCCGATTTTATGCGCGATCCATCACGCTCGCCGGATCTCGGTACACCCGAGTCGAAGTTTAATTAAGAGCCTTAAGCTTAACCTTTAATTCTTAGACATAATAGGAGCTGATATAGTCAAATGGGATTGCACACACACAATTTCAGTTCTAATAATTCATTCTTGGACAGAGAAAGATTCTAACAAAAGCAATTACTCGTTTTACTTTCTTTCTTTTAAGCGATCATTTTCTTCAACAGAGAACTCTTACCTTTTTCTTGATAAAAGGCTGAAAATTTACTCATCAGAAACTTGACGAAAGCTCGTTATCACGTATTCAAAAGATGAACTTATTCCCTTTCCAAGAAAATTATGAAATTTTATCGGAGAGAAAAGTTATATTCAGTTGATTTTAATAACACACAAACCAAAGTTTATTTTACTTTAATATTTTTCATTGAAATATTAAACTTATACTGAGGATTCAGGATATATTTTGAATAAATTTGATGTTTGTGATGAATTTATGATACATTTGCGGATATAGAAACTTATGAAATACTCGAAACAAGTAACATATTTACTTGAATGCAGTATTATATTTCTCTGTGATTTAGCGTCGAAATAGATAGTTTAAAGCGTTAAAACCAAATTCGTATTTCTCTGAAGAGAAAAGTTAATAAATGCCAACATATCGTCCAAGTAGGCCTCTATTAATTCATAGGCCTTATAAGTAGGCAAACTATCTTTAAAAGCGCCAAAGTAACGTCCAAATCCCGACTATCTCTCGGCTCGGGGGAGAAGAGAGAATCAACTTTCGATTAGATCCGCTTGCAGCGGCACGTCGAAAGCGTGTCACCGGAGTTCCCACCGATAAAGAAGAAGAGACCGAGACGAAGACGATTCTTATCGGGTTTGCGCGAGAATCGCGAACACGTACGCAACACGTGCCCTTCGTCGCGCAAAAATTCACGAAACGCCGTTGTGAGCAAACAAAGGCATGCTTGTTCGCTCGCTCGTAGATGAGGAAAAAGGAAAGATGAAAGGAAGAAAAGAGGGAGAGACGGGTAGTTGCGCGGTCAATTATAAATTACCTCGAATTAAATCGATGACCACCACCGGAGCGCGTCGGCGGCGGAGGATCCGACGGCAGACCTTGGCGAAAACTTCCCGCTTTTTATGATCGTGTATGCGTGAAATCTTTTACGGCGACGCGCGCGTAATTGCAATGCGGCGAGGGTGGCGATAAACAACGTTCATGGAAGAGCGTTGTACTGTTGCACAGGTTCGGATTCTGCATTGTAGACAGGGCGGGCTCTTCTCTCTCTCTCTCTCTCTCGTCTTGCTTTTTAACTGCTCGCGCGCGCTGGATTTATCGGCATGCTTAATTGCCGCCCGGGACGAAACTCAGCCTCGAAACGCGCGCCTCTTTCGTCGTGCTTTTTCCGCACGATATGGCACGTCCGTACCCCCCGCATCGTGATCCCCCGCTTTAGCCCGGCTCCCCGAAACTCCCTCATTAAACTGTAAACGCACCGAGTAACCCAACCTGTAATTATTCAATTAATACGTTGACACCGCCGCAGTAATTCCCAGTTCATTGCGCGACAGGGCGTCGCCGATAATTGAATTTACCGTACATACCATCAATCAATGTGATTCGCGTACGTCTTTTATCCTCCTTCCCTCGACTCTCCATTGATTGTAGAGTCGACTTTTTAAATTAATTACTTCTACTTTGTACACAAATTCAGTGAGATGCGATATCATATACATCAGTATTCAACCAACTTTGACCACTTTTCTAATAAGTGTTATTATTTTTGCTATTATTTATATGTTGCTATTACTATTTTTGTAGTTAAAATCATAAAATACCATAAAGAGTATAATTCAGGCCGAAAATATCTGCAATTAATGTATTAAAATGAGAGAGAGAGAGAGAGAGAGAGAGAGAGACGTAGAATCAAAAGTTTAAGAGAGAAGTTAACAAATATCGTTAAAGTAGGTTCTATCATCAGTCTGCAAACCACCTAATTGAGCGCGAACTGCTCTTCAGAACGTCAAAATGGCGTCGAAATTTCGACCCGGGTGGATATTTCCTACGAAGAAAAAAATTGAGGAATATGTGCTAAACAATTCTTAATTTTTTTTCTACGCTTTCTTCTCCTTTCCTCCTCCACGCTCGCGATCGCAATTCCCGAATCGACGCGCGAATCCAGGGGGATTCTATGACAGAGGCCGGTTAATAAGGTAACATGCGTGTTTCAAGCGTGACACGTTTCGATATATTTCCGTCATTTCGGTCTCCTTTTACATCTCGACGCCCTTCGAACGTCGCCGGCCCTGGTCCCTTCCGCTCGTCCTAGTCTCTCTCTCTCTCTCTCTCTTTCCTTCTCATTCTCTCCGGCGTTTACCGTCTGCGCGCGCTCGGTCGGAGAATTACGAGCCTTCAGACTGATTATTAAGTCCCGAAGATTTAAGGCGGTGCTTTAAATACTCGAGGCAGTAACATTGAGCGAAATTCATTCTGTAATGAAAGAGCGTGCCGATATCGTCGTCCCGCTGTTTAACGTTCGCCCATTCGGGCCCGAGGATGTTAACCCACTAACTGGCGGATTCTTTCTCTCTCTCTCTCTCTCTCTCTCTTCTCTCCTTTTTTTCTTCTTCACCCGTGACTTCTTTAGCCGGCCGTAGTCTATAGACGTGATCATCGCGGCTAAATATAACGTTAATTAACCCGTAAGTGGACACTGGGGGTCAAACTGACTGACCCAGACGCGTGAAATGAATGTCTCTCCATTTTGTTTTTGTCTGCGACACCGACACTTTCAGTACCTCTTCTCTCGACCATTTACTCTCGAATTTACCGAAGTAGCGTCAATAACAGCCGAGGATCTCAGCTACAAATAACAGTTATTTTATTCCTTTTATCAAATAATAATATAGTCACTGTGAATAAAAATATGTTACGGCTTTGCTTGAAATGAAAAAAACTGTAATTTCTTAGGTGTTTCCCAAACGCGTTTGATTCACACGAATAAGGAAATAAATGATGAAGAATAAAAATAATCATCGCGTTGTTGATATTTTTTTTCTGAATTATTCTTGACAATCTGCTATAAAACAGATCAACGTGCAAGGAGACGAATATGTGTTTATAATAAACTGACGTCACTAGCGTAACGTGAATTTTACAACTATCGCCAGTTTCAACCGATCACATTATTTAAGTGACATTCGTATTCCGCGCGTTTATACTTCAAGTTGAAGTGCAAGAATGATAGGAATTTATCAGATCACTTATCAGGTCGCGTGCAAAGAACAGATGTCGGAAGATCGATGTCCGGGTCCGCCGATACCGCGGGTTCGGAATCATCACGAGTACAAAGGGTCGAGCGATCCTTGAGAAGAAATTCACGGTTTCGAACGGCCCTTTCACTCTCGCCCTTTGTCCTCGAAGCGGTCGGTTTCGCCGGGCTTGATCGCGGATTCGATCGTTCGTCGGGGGAGGGGAGCGGTAACATAATGAGCCTAATAAATTACAGGTGTAGAAATATAACGATCGCCGGGCTTAATGTCGATGCACACTGTGTTCCCTGAACCGGTATGTGCGCGATGCGTCGGCCGAGTGCGTGCGGGTGGGGCGGATAAGAAGGGGGGGATCCGCATTCTGCGCGGCCAATTTGCATGACCGATGATCGGCCGCTACTATACGGCTACTATACCGCCGGTGACTGGGTGCATCATCATTACGCACTACCGAGATACGATCAAACTGTCGGTAATAACAGTCGCACGAGCCCGGCGTGCACGTACACACCGCGGCGGGGAGAGAGAGCGGGCTCGCGTTTATTAAATTACGTCAAATTATTGGTACGCGTATCCGGCCTAAACATAGAACCGGCCGGCCGCCGGTTGTTGTTTAACAGTGAGCGATCACGCTACTTTCCCAATTAGGGCCGCTAATTTCAGCGGGGAGCGTGTAATTGCCGCGCGGGACCGAATTCCCCGTAATGCGTCCGAGACGCGCGCTCCATCCCCCACGGAGGAGCTTAATCAGCCCTTAATCATCGGTCAACGGTTAATGCGTAGCCAGCGCGATGTGGAATTAAGCTACGATAATTAAGTTACCCCCGGTATGTGTGCGTGTCTCAATTCGAAAAATCCCCCCGCGCGCTTTTCCCGAGCCGATCTCGCGCGCGCCTCTCGACTCTCGAGAGTTCAAGGTGTCCGAGTTATCGGCGACACGTCCAATTAATGGTGTCGTAAAACGCCGGAATATAATTTCCATTTATTCCGCGCGTTTATTGCGTTTCATTAGCGGCGCGATAACTGTTCATTAGTCGATCGGGAAACCGGCCGGCCCGTAAAGTGTCGCGCGGAATTCCCGCAACGACGTTGTCATTCGCGCCGAACCTCCGTGCGGACGCGCGGAGGAGAAGAAAGGAAAAGGAAAACCGCGCTTCCCGCGGCTCGACAGGGAGCAGAAAGTCAATGGCGGAGATCTGAGTCGGAAACTAGTAACTGGTAACAAGCTGGATTATATTTCCCAGCTCGTCGCTAATTCCCTGCTCGCATCAAGTGTGCTGAAATTAAGGTCGAACAGCTCGAAGCTGGCAGGAAGGAGATTCGAACTGTTTGAAGAATCAAATACTGAGAACTATTGCGAACGCTCCCTGGTATCCGCGATAATTAGTGAGGCATCAATGAATCCGCTAAAGCTGACGAGCCCACGGGAGATTAAGATATACTTCACTTTTCTCTCGGACGCGTCGATTTTTTTCAGTCGACGCTCGTCCCCGTCCGTTCGCCGAGACACACGCTTAACACCTTCGACTCTGTTCGCAGATTCGACCGACGAAGGGCTGAAGAAGGCAAAGAGCGGTCCGGATGAGGAGCTGTGGATCTCCGACGTCGTTCGACTAATCAAAATCCGCAACGAGAGCTCAAGAAAGGACAGACGGATGGGAGGGAGGATATTTCCGCCGCGGCGGAACCGACTCCGCCATTCAATCGCGCAGCGTTCATTCAATCGCGCCCGTGAAAGCCATTCAAACTCGTCGTCCGACGCACACATACGCCCGCATGTGTGTCCATGCTCTGTATACTCGTAAACACACACGTACACAAACATATACAAACACATTCATACATACATATATATATACAGAATGTACCGGGAGCCCTGAATATTTCGAGAGACGGACTTTTGCCTGGAACATTTTTTCCCTGAAATGTTTTATTTCTGAGGACTTTCGCTACGTTTCCCGTATCCTGTACACACACACACACACACACACACACTACGTACACGGCACGCATGAAGAATCCAAAAGCATCGCGCCAGATCAACGCCGCGTACTTCCTGTGATCGTCGATTAACGATAAGCGGAATAATCAAAAAGCGACGCAGCGGAAGAGAATTACGTTCAGAGGTCAGGGGTTACGAAACAGAGACGGGAATTATTATAATATTCTTGCGAGGGGGAAGGGAAGCGACGCCGTGTCCCGAGGAGTATCGCGCAACTGGTCGGTGGTAGACGTGACGAAGCAGCGGCGGCCGGTGTGTATTCTCGTCGAGAGGTACAAAAGCGATTACAACGATCGAGCTCTCTTATACGCGCGTCAATGAATTCATACACACACACGTGTGATGAATTTCGCGAGTCCTCGACGTGTAAACGTTCGCCCGCGCGAGGAAACCGCGTTCTTTCCGCTCGGGAAAACGGCCGTTGCGAAACTCGGCTACGGGGAAGGTCGTTTCGTCCACGTTGCTGCTTCGTTCTCGTTCACGAAGGAAAGAAGGAAGGCCCTCTGCGACTTCCGCCCTGTGCACGTTCTTCGACGCGCATCGGAAAGAGACGGGGAAGTATCGACAGCGACCGCCATTGTATCTCTGCGTATTATGATTTTTTTTTTCTCATCTTCGCGACGAAGCCGATCCTCTTGACGTTCGCGTTAAACGCGAGAAAACCGACGCCTCGAGAGCGAAGTGGAGGAGATTTCCGGTCGAAAAGAAACGTTCGCTATCTCGACGAGTTACATTAAGGCACCCACACATGTATCGAGGTGGTTCTATCGATACTTTTCGGTATCTGTAAGGCGCATCCACCATGAAGGATACATCGTAAATCGTGACGGAGCCACGCTTCGTTCCTTTATCCTTCCTGTTTTCCGACGTCGGCCGGGGATGGGAACCGGAGGAGGGTTGCGAAGGATAAGGAAGAGGGGGAAGGTAGGGGAGAGAGAGACGGGTCGGATTTACACACAGTGTAATCGTGCATTTGTCTCGAGAGCAGCTACACGTGTCGCGTAAATCACGCATACACGAGTAGATTTTTCCCTCTCCTTTTCTTTCCCCCGTTCTTTTCTTTTCCAACAAAGAGAGACGGCGGCAGCGTTGTCGGCCGGCCGGCCGCGCGCAGCTAAGGATACGAATGCCATAATAATGACCAAGTTTTGTGGTTGTACTTAAGTCATACTTTATATCCTACTTTATTTTGTTAGGTTGCTAAGGTTGATAAGTTACTTCATTACTCCATTATCGAAGTGTCCCTATCAGTTATCGCTACGTCCTATTATTTTCGAGCCATCCTGCATCGACGGCCGAACCGTCGTTTCGCGCCGATCATCGAGAATTGGCGCAGGCTACGAGACGGAGAGAGAGAGAGAGAGAGAGAGAGAGAGAGAGAGAGAGAGAGAACACTGCCTACCTGCACTTGTGATCGCGTATGCAACTCGAACTTAACAGAATAAGCTGAGCGCCCTACAGTCGCAATCAGGTATCCACAGGGTGAATTCAACGAGTGGACGTTGCACTCTCGCGTATCGCCGAGGCGATAAAAAGAGAAATTAAGAACGATCTCGATTTAACGAAAAGGAGAAAGATAAGGAACGTGTGTTTCTATCATCGCTAACACTACAGTTGATTGAGTAATTCGTAAGGTAAAATTAATAATCGGTCCTTCTTTTCTCGTTCATCTTATAATGAAATCACGATTGCGGGGAAAAATAATTTAGAGGTACGGCGATTTTAAATGTCACAGCGAATAAATAAATATGCAGGATGTTCCTTAAAAATTGCTTATTAGTTTAGAAGTTGATTTTTTAGGTCATTTTGTAAAGAATATTTCGCATGAACGTATATACGTTTCTTCATAAAATATGAGCACAAGTTATAAAAGAACCACAAATTTATCATAAATATCACATTTACTCAAAATATATTCTAAATTCTAATAAGTTTGACGCTTCAATCAAAAATATTGAAACAAAAGTCATTTACTTAAATTAACCGAATTTCACTTTTCTCCGCGATAAAGTTTTATAATTCTCCAGGAAAGAAGCAAAATTTCCGTTTTGAGTACATGATGAAGACTTTTTCTAAAATTCGTGACGAACATATTTGAAAACTATTACATCAAGGAAAAAATACGCTTCGGTGAGAATAATCATTACAAAAAAGAAGTAAACTGAATAATTGCTTTTTTTAACGGAAAAACTTTTCTGTGTGCACGGCAGCGTTAAATTTGCCATCCCTTCGAGTTATTTTTCTTCGTGAGCATCCCGTAAGGAAAACTTGAGAAAACACAGTGGGACAGTTGAACAATTTCTATAATCGAGCGTTCCAATCGTTTCCCAAGTATATCGGATTGTCGAGTGTATCAATTCTCGAACTCACGCCGGCACTGTGCTCGCGCGCGAGGTCATTTCGGACACGAAATCGCCCCTACGCGTGAAATCCACCGCATTTCCACACATTGTACAATCCGAACGTTGAGGAATCGCCGTCGACGTAGCATGCGTCGCCCATGGCGGTCGCACGAACAACGAAAGCACAACATGAACGAACGAACGAACTCTCATCGAAAGTCAGGCTGCGAGAGACCGCCTTTCGGTCGATGCTCCCGACCAAAGGACGCGTTTGGACCTTGGTCTCATTTTTGTGATTATTATTTAAATACACAGTTAAGCAAACAATAGTATGTTAGAATAGGCTCGTTGTAATCGAATACGAGTACACCATTGCACTGTTGTAGTACTTGCGGAGACACGACGATCGTTCTCCGGCGCACACGATTTCGGCGGAAGCGCGAAAACAAAACGTACCGAAAGACTTCTCATACCACGAAATTGTGTGATTACATTCATACACGAATCATCGAATCATTTGTCCGAAAGCCAGTATTGTCCGGCAAGAATATGCGAAATATGTTCGAGAGAGAGAGAGAGAGAGAGAGAGAGAAATCGAAATCTCCACAAGTGGCCTTCTTCTTCGAAGAGCTCGAGGGGACGAGATCTGTCTGTGAAATCGCGCAGATCCTTTTCTCCTCCCCAACCCCTTTTTTCTATCGCGAGCTTATCTTCCGCGAAATTCCCTTAACTGCGAGCCGAAACGCGGGAGGACGTTATTAGTAATCAGAGAGAGAGAGAGAAAGAGAGAGGGAGAGAGAGAGAGAGAGAGAGAGAATACGTTCGTTACGATGGAAGAAAAAACTAGCTATTACGAGTGTACAATAAGTTTTTTTTTTTAGACCTACAATACGAAGTATAGATTCTATCATCATGAATATTATATATCGCGTAATGAATCAGCAGAAGACACTCGGTCCCCTTTACGACGGAACTCGGTGTGTTATAAGCGCGCGCCGTACGCGCGCTTATTTCGCACGTTGACGTTCTCGGCGAGTGAAATTTTGCTATGACGACGAAGCGCCGAGGAGGAATGAAAGTGTCTCTCACTTTGCGAGACCAGAGACCACAGCGACGTCGTGCACGTCGGTGCGAGCGCTTTTCATTAGCGCACGGATTAGAATTCGGATTCTGATCCTTTCGGGGGCATTGGGACGCGAGCGAGCGATCGATCGATCGATCGATCTCCGTGCGAGCGATCAGCCGCGAGAAATAATCCAAGAAGTCTGTGAGGCAACTAGACTCCTCTGTTCGCACAAACGGCAAAATGGACACCTGAAATTGCGCATGGCATTAGAGAAAATCAAATATCCTCGCTTATGCAAACACATACGATGGATACTAATTCCAACGTCGAATCAGATGAAATAATTACGTTAAGATAAAATATATTTGCGCTCAGATTGCAACAGCTGTTTCTTTAAAACATGCTATTAATGATCGCCATTTAAAACACGATCAAACATTGTAATCATCTTGTAATCATCTTGTAAACTTTGAAGATTAGAACGTAAAGCTTTAAGTGCAAGTTCGCGCGTTACTGCGCATTGAGTTGTGCTCTGTGACTTATGCAAAAGTCTGTGCCTTCAGTCGTCGGCAGTCTAGTTGTTTTACAGATGTCGGTGGAAATAAAGCAGAATCCGCTCGTTTCGTCTATTCGTGCGCTTCGCGCCACGGAAAACGCGGCTGAAACGGATCTGCCTCGGTAGAGAGCGGCTGTGAACTCGGCTGGTCGATATATATCGCCAGGACCATCGTCGGCCACGTCCTCGCGGCGAAATACTCAGTGCGTAAGGGTCGAGGACCGTTGTGCCTTCGTATGTATGCACGTTAATACGTCTAATGAACGTAAGAAAGATAAGACATCCACTTTGTGATTCCATAAGCAGTTGTTCAGTTTTTTTTTTATACCTTCCTTAATGCTTATCATAGGATAGTTTTTTTGTGTACCCTAAAGAGTGTTTCAATAAAAATCACAATGGAATAAACCCCCTTCCCCGCCCCCTCATCGCGTTGCGATCCAATTCCTGTTGTTCGTTGCGAAGAGTCCTCCTCTGTTGCAGGCTACGTAGCTGTAGCAGGCTTAAGAATATCTTTTACTAACTTGTGGTTTATTCATATGTCAGAAATTATATGTTGGTAAGAGATATTGATTGTACTACCGTCGTTTATTATGCGAATCTCCATGTCAGAAATTCGCATTCTCACGCCCGAACGGAGGAGTTTCTAAGCAATCAGAAGATACGAGGGAAAAAGTGGTCAAAAGAAACCATGTTGGTAAAGTTTTACAAGGAAACGTTTGCTAGTATCAGTCACCGATTTTAATCGGCTTTGAATATATCGTGAAACGGCTAAAAATAAGAAATACGTGCCTTTTGATATGCGCTTCCTTGCACATTCCGTGGTCGAAATAAATTCTGGAACACAATTCGATAATATCCATTGATTGGGAGTGAATTTTCTTCAAAATCGTGAGATATATCAGAGAATGTAGTATAAAATTATAACGCAAAAAGGTGTTTTTTTATTTTAACTTCTTTATAACATTCAAGACCCGCTGAAGTCTGTGAGAAACATTCGCAAACGTATTCTTCTTACTAGCGATATAAATTTTAATATTCATTGGAGAGCCAATTTATATTATTAGTTTCATCGTTATTATTTCTCTTGTTCTCATTAATCACCGTCATAAACACGGCCACCATTGTCATTCTTATTACCATTGTAATATGTAACTCTATACTCAATAAAGACTTTTCTATTATTCAAAAACAGAATCATGTGTTTTATTATTATGCTACTCCAAATAATATCCTCTCTTTTTTCAAATTATATTTCCGTTTATATGCACAATCCTTGTGAAATGATATTCTCCTGATAAAAATCCATGTCTTTCGTTTCATTTAAACCCTTTTTGCTTCAAAAGCATTTTCATAACGCCTCATATAATCTCTATTGTTGTACATAGTTGTTGCCACTTGTACATGTATCTTTAACCCCTCAGGTTACTTGTGATCATACATCTAAATTTATCCATTGTTATGCGATTTACCAGCATATTACGGTTTGTTCGAGTAAAAAGAAAAGCGTACGGACAATTTTACAAGTGCACCGAATCAATCACAAGTGTCATTTGGTGAGCATATCTTTTTATTTGAACGTATGACGCAAGAATTCTAAATATATACGTTGATATATATGTTTTCCTGCTTCTGAGGTCATCAAGCAAGGACAGTTGCAACGATTACACAGGAGCCTTAAGGAAGTATTTTCCGACACGTATTAATCGGGAGTTTTCTATTCAGAATTAAATTTCCTACAAGATCTCGAAGTCTGCCTGGAATGTTCGGAGCCACGCGTATATCGAATGATATATCACGTCCTTGTTTGGCGGATGAACATCCCGCCGCGTATTCCGCATCGGTATATAAAAATCTCGCGCTTCTTTATGCACTCACGACCTAGACTCGTATCAATTGTGACGTATTCACGAGAACGTGTGATTTATTGAAATGTGACGATACATAAACTCAGAATGTTCGATAAAGTTCCGACTGATAATAAACAAATACGTACAATGTATAAAAATAAAGCCGACTTCTGGAGAAAAAAAACAGGTATGTGATATATCATTCGAAGAAGGCCGGTTTATTATACGTAACGCATTTATCTATGTTGTGCTATTCCTTCGGCTTCCTTATTGTCAGAAATAAACGAGTCGTTCCGAAAGCGTAAGTTGTAACCGTGTTTTTGCAAACAACGTGTGTGACCATACGGCATATCAACGTGAACTTCCGCAAATTATCTATATTTGTTTTAAATAGTTTATACAGCCGTTAGCGAAAGGCTATAAGATGACGCCTTCATGAACCTCGCGTATAAAAGTGAAGCTTGATAATATCGCAAGACGATTCAAACGCTGACCATTGTGATCGCGTTAATATTCGCTTTTGTGCACAATGAAGTTCATCACCGCAATTCTCGTAATTTTTTGCGTGTATTTACTATCTACCGCAGGTAAAAAGCGATTGTTTTACATTATTACCAAAAAAAGAAAAAAAACGTATTAACACATTTGCTACGGTTTATCATTGGCGAGCATTTTCCACATTGTTTTTAGTGTAATCCAGATCGTAATGGAAACGCTAAGGTTTAAAGAAATTTTCAACATATTATAAATAAATAAGTCAACTTGGTTCTACACCAAAATATTCTTTGAACTATCCACTGTAAGAAAAGCACGAGTTTTATAGCGAAAAATTAGTTTAAAAGGACGAAATTATGATTTCACTGAAAGCGTGTATCAACCTCATTATGCTTATGCGAGGCGTAATGGGATACTTCGCAAAACTTGTTCATTCTCTTAACATCAACGTTTAAAACTTCTTAAAAGTGATTTGGAACACGTAATGTATAATATAAAGTGGCCTTAATAATATAAAGTTCAGTAGAAATCAGGCGAAAAGCCTTCGCTCCAGGTTAACCTCATATTTACAGAGCTTTTTGTTTTTCTGTAAACACTACTTTAAAAGTGTTTATATTTGCAACTTTTGACTATTTTGTCGCGACAGTTGATCTTCGTTTTTTTAACGTTTTAAAATCATTTTAAGGATCCCAAGTAATTAAAATTTTACGAAAGCCTATTTTTCCGTTACGTGCCGAAATGTATAAATTTACTTAAAGTAACATTACACGGATAATCGATATTTGCAGAGATTCTTTGCTAAAATGATAACAAAAGATCGTTTAATAATATAAATGTACTTAGAGTAGTAAAAAATTACGTGGCGCCAACTTGGAAGCTACATCGAATATATTCCATTATGCTTCTAATCTCGTTGTATTCTAGCTTCCTCTAATTATGCAAAACGCGTTTAATTCGATTATGTACAGAGAGAGAAATAATCGCTTTGATGTATATGTGGCGTTGACAGCGAACGAATTAAGTAGAATTGGAAATGTTGAGTGATAATAAGCTTAAATTGAGAGATCGGTATGTCGCACACATACGTGATATTGATAACGAATGTGCCAAAAAAAACATGAGGAAGGAATAAGAAAAATGAAGGGAAAAGTTTAAAGATCAATTATCAATTTGTTTGTTTCTGCTTATTTAAATTATCCGTTTATTTTAATCTTAATTTTCTACAAATTTAAAGTAATTAATTAATATGAATGAATGAATTAAATTGATTAACTGAAATTAATAAAGATTCGCTGAAAGACGAGGTTATATAGCGTGCTAATTTTACAATTATTTATTAACCGTTAGAGCAAAAGGCAAAGAATACTTCACAAATATCTCAACCGATCGCAAATGTCATTTAATGGATATATCCTTTTGTTTCAATGTATTTCGCCAAAATTTTAAACACACACGAGCTTCCTCACTTCTAACGTCATCAAATAAGAACACTGCAGCGAGGAACTAGGAATTTTAAGAAAGATACGTGAGAGATAGTCGAAAGATCGTGTCGGCATTGACGCGAATCGCACGATCCCTCTTCATCCCTCGAATTTATTTCATTAAATCATAGTGACCAATTACACCAATTAAAAGAGAAGGAAAAATTGAAGAAATTTGTTCCAGGTGACAGCAAGATATTACCTTTGAAGAAATTACCTTCAAAGATATTCGGACACTTGAAGTCGCATGTCGACAACACTGTTAAGAAACCTTTGAAGGTTTTCGGACACTTGAAATCGCATGTCGAGAACTCTGTGGGGCCCTTACGTATAAACAAATTAACCCCCAATTGCATTTTCGGTGTGAAATCGATGTCGATGGTTTTGTTCACTAAGTAATTTTTGTTTCGCAAACTCTATGTTCGCAAAGGCATAAGTATTCTCTTACCCAGGAGAAATATACATTTTACGTACATGTGATAAAAATGATCGAATAACTTGTATTTGTGCGTCGATTGACAATTCAACTGTTTCTTTCAGGAACATTCCAGATGGCAAGTATATCAGTTTAGACAACGACTTAGGCAGAGACTTAGACCTAACAAAGACAATTTATTTCACCGCACACGGTTTCATCAGCAATGTTAATCATTCTCTTAGTAACAGGCTGTCGAGGGCGTTGGTCGAGGTAAATATCGCGCTTGTATGCATGATTAGAAGCGAAAGGTAGAAGGAAAGGGAACCATCTTGCAACCCATATTATATTTAGCACACACTAACTGATAACGTTATATCAATATTATAATTTTCGCCTTGCAATAATATAACGTAACATATGTTGTGTAATTACATCGTTAAAAACACGGAAAAAAAGTTCAGTTTCTCTCAGTTACCACAACTAGTCACGTAAATATTCAGCTGCATTAAAATTCTGTTGGGACAACTGAGAGCGATCTTTCTTTTCTCACAATCGAATTTTCGTCTGATCTTCGGATCGGAAAATTCCGTTACATTAACACGAAATTGTTTTTCTCCGTGTGAGAAATTATACACGAAAAAATTGATGTTATGTTTCTGTCAGTTTGTGTTCAATGGTTTGCATTTATTTTGAAGTGTGTAAGGTGTTATTGGTATTAAGTAGTACCGAGTGAATATTCGATAAAGTATCTTATACTTCGGAGGAAACAGGTTGAATATCTTTCGCTTTTACAGAAAGATTATACGGTGTTTTCCCTGGATTGGTCCGACGCGGCGTGCACGACTGGTGGGCTTCCACTTGTGAAACTCCTAGGATACCCAAGCGCAGTGCAAAACACTCGAGAAATAGGCAATCTCATGGCTGAGTACAATTATTTTTCATATATATAAGGTGTTCTGCAAAGAAACGAACAAATTTTCCGAATATGCTTTAGAATAATTCTAATAAATAAGTTCAGATAAATTGTAGGCCAATCCGACTCAATTATCAGAATATTGACAATTTCATTAATATTGTACCAAATGAAAAATATCATTTATTATACATGATATCCGATAATTATCTCGGGACCTGTGGTGTGCAGATAGAACGGAATAAATTGAACAGGTCTTACAAATTGTTAAAATTTCGTTCAGATCTGCGTGTTAATTCATGAAGTCTCCTTATAAGTTTAACGCGAATACTCTCTGTGGCTCCTGTTATTCTGTCAATTAATAATTAACGGGTTCCCGGTTTACCTCCATTATATATACACAAGACTTCAAACGTTCCCACAATAAAAAATTCAGAGCAAGACAGCTATTGTCATTAAGAAATGTACATTATCGACAAGAATTACATTTTTCATATCTCGATAACTGAGCCGGATTGACCTATAGAGTATCAATAATGTTTTGCTTAGAACGACGTATAAAATGAATTCCAAAATTTTATTGGTGTCCTGAGGCAAAAAGTATCCTGTTTATACTTTATATTAAAAGATAATATAAGTAATATAAGTAAAGATAATATAAGATAATATAAAAATAACATGAGAGACAATAAGTAGATAAATCTAAATATGAAACATTAAGTATGCGAAAGTTGCGATCTAATTTTGAGACTTCTACAGCTCTAAAAGCTGAAGACAATAAACTTTGCTTATTCGAAAATATTCGTATTAAACTTACTTTATAGCTACGTCATGTCGTTGATTGATCACGGCGCTTCGTTGAGAAACATGGCATTCATCGGTCACAGTCTAGGCTCGCACGTGTGTGGATTCGCCTCGAAGAAGATTTACGAGTCAGGTTACGGGAAGGTCCCGCTTTTATTTGCCGCCGATCCTGCGCAACCACTGTTTCAATCGAAGCAATGTCCCGATAGGCTTTGTGATACAGATGCAAAATTGGTGATCACACTTCATACATCGCAGATTGGGCTAGGGTATCCCATTGGCGGTCTCGATCTATATTTCAACGGTGGATTTGTGCAGCCAAAATGTAAGCAAATGCATTTCTTTCAACATATACAGAGAAATAATGTCACGATTATGTTATTTGAATAGCGCGAACGTATTCTGCCGGTAAAATTTTCAAATATGGCATACCTTTAATGTCATTCTTGTTTCTTTAATTTACTGTTTCGTTTATGTATCTTACGTAGCAAAAGTGTCGCAGTATCACAATTATACTGCTGTATTACTATTCTATTTTTTAATTAAAATATATACATCTTGAAGTTAATAATATATAATTATTTAAGAAATATATTAATTGCTCAAAGATATTAATATATTAATAATATAATAACTTCAAGATGTATATATTTTAATTAAAAAATGGAATTGTAACAGAGCAGTATAATTGTGAAACTGCGACACTTTTGCTACGTAAGATATATATTAAAGGTTTTAAAACGTATGTTCTTCTAATGTTCCCACTTTGTTTGAATATAACTAAACCAAATGAACGTTCCTCGAACGTTTACGCGCTGCTTGGGTGTGAAGGGTAACTCGGAAGCCAAATCAAGTAACACCGCGGAAGTCTAAAAGATCAGTTAAAGATGTAGATTTTGAAATTGCTGTGCAGCCAATATGACGTATAAACTTTGTAGAAAAATGTCAGTATTTTGCCTGTAAAGTGTTCAAATATGGCACCACTTAGAGAAAAAAATGCGCCAAAATAAATTTATATTTCAGGCCATTTGGACATAATATGTGCACATATCAGGTCTGTTCTCTACTTGATCAATATGGTGGAAAAGAAGTGTTCGTTCCCCGGTATTCCTGCAACGTAAGTTTAATCCATTATTTGACACAATGATCGCCATTTTGATTTCTACTCATTATTTCAATGCTTAACTAAAGTTTGAGTCATCGACGAGTAACCCCTTGATTAGCGAAAACGCAACACTGGGTTTTGATATTTCTGATAGTTCGATATTTCTAAAATTGGATATTCTAAGGATATTCAAAGGATTTTGATAACAACGGCTAATATTTTTATTAAAATTTTATGCCATCTCATTGTTATTAATAATTAAAAATTGCTATAATGTCACACGAACTTTTACAAGTACCTAACATATTGTCAAATAAATACCAGAAATTGTTCAATAAAACACAAAATATTGGTTTAATCATTCAAATTTATTTTATCGCCTTCAAAATAGCAGTAGTAAACAAACTGATTGACAGATGGCGCCAAAACTCTACGTGACAATTTAGCTACATTGGTATTAACTTACAGCAAAAAATTTGTTTTCACACTTTTTACGCGGGCATTTGAAGTGAACAATTCCCGGTATTTATTTGACAGAATATATATGCATTTTATAAACATATATAGCATGTTAAACATATAATGTTCATCGGCACATTAAATATATTATATATTAAAGTTATAACTGTGCCCATATATTATATCCAACTTCTTTTTTTCCAGGTATAAACAAATCTTAAATCCATTCAGGTATAAGCGTGTAGTTTTTAAATGTCATTTATACATTTTTTCCTTTATTAGATTATTGCTTTATTGCGATCGTAATTTAAATTAATTTTTCATTTATTACTTATATTTATTAAATTATTTATTGCTTACCTTATACTTATTAATCATCGTTTATTTATTAACTAAATATTCTCTTGTAGCAAATTTCCTTACCCAAATTCCAAAACAACTGATTGTTTCGTTATGGATGATTCGATATTTAATCCAAGGAGAAAGTCACTACAAAATTTGGCGGGTGGAATATATTACATGTTTGTCGATCCGGATACATTTTGCACACGGAAGAACTTTAATTGCCAACGCTAGTGATGACAGCAGCAACAATTACGAAACGTTAATTTTATGAGTAAGTAAGTTTATGTCAGTTAATAATAATCTGCTTTATTTTGCTATATCTGTTGACGCGATTCTTTTATTAATAGTAGTATCTCCGTAGATACTATATGTTATAGGTCATTCCATAGGCACTATGGATGCGTTATTTTATTCGCAACAAATGCATTTCGTGGATGCATCAAGATTTCACTTTTCGAAGTTACTAGCTAGGGACAATGATGTTCCTAAAAAATACACTCTCCTATTGGTTACCGAATCATAGTATCGTTCGAAATTGGACCTTACAATAATAAAGAAATATTAATAGTGGGGTCCAGTTTCAAACAGACGACGATAACCAATAGGAGAACATGTTTTCTAGGAACATTATTATTCTTAGCTAGTAACTTTAAAAAGTGAAATGTTGGGATGCGTTCTTTTAATCGCAAAAGCCTGTTGCATCCAATGCATAGTTTAGTTGTTCTTTATATTTAGTCGCGCACAGCAACTGCGGGCCGCGTTAATCTTGACCGTTTTTTAATTTAAATTGCAAGCAGAACTGTTCAATTTGTTTACATCTTTCAGCATCCCAATCTAAATGGCTACCGGCAGATTGAAGCCTGATTGAATATAGAAGCCTCAAATACGAATACGACTCCTTCGGTGTGCAGAAATTAGCGCATTTTATGCAGCTTGAGGTTGCTGATGACCTTTAGAATGTCTAATTATAATTAATCGATAATAATAATTAATCGATGTACTATTTTCAATAAATGTAATTAAATGTGTATCAATAATATCTAGATATTATAATAGATGCTGTAAAAACTAATTCGATAAATTAATATATTAATCAAGTTGTAAATGGATGCGGGAAATGCGGGAGCAATAAGAGGTGTTTTGTAATAATTATAGATGCTCGAGTTGCTTGCATTTTGGACTTTCTCTCTCGTTATTTACTTGGTTTTCTGTCTCATGTGATTTTTTCGTCTAACCATGAGATAGAACTGCGCTGAGTAAAATATATATCGTCAATATAAAACATTCACAGCGACTGTGATAGTGCTCTAATACGTAAGGTGGGCGACTCAAGAGCCAGAGGTCTCAGGTTCTCAAGTTCAGGGAAAAACGAAATTTTTCCATATAATTCGATATTAACGTGTAAGCAAGTAGAATTTCAAGAACCAAACTACATTGGAGATCACCTCTCTTCGAGAGAGAAAGGAAATAAATTAAAACTCTGATTAAAGAAATCCAACCATCAGGAAAGAAATCCCTGATACAGAAATAATCTAAGAACGCTGTCTAGGGATTTAGGTATTCCTGATATAGAGGAAAAGTGATAGAGAAATCAACGAAAAGAAAAATAAATCTTTTCATTTTATTATATCTAACTACTAGCTTGTTATGTGACCGGATGTCACTGACTAAGTAGAAAGGTCGACGTTAAACCGTCCAAGCCCCGCCGAACATTTAGAAGTTAATTTCCCCCAGGATTCCGCTGCCCATCCACGGTCCGCAGTGCGTTTTCAGAGATTCGCCCAAACTCTGGGCCTGGAAAGCTGGACAGGCCAAGTCTCCCCAGATGCGCCTTTACTGTTAGGGGTTATATAGAGGGATTCCCTCCCTGATAGATTCGATCACCGGACGCTCGCCTCAGACACTGGGTATGGGGATAGGGAAACGCGAAAGAATGAACACGTACCCCGTGAGAGCAAATAAGATGATATCTATTTTGTAAAAATGAAGCAATAATAAAAAGATACAGATCTATAAATCCTATAAGAGCAAAACGAACTTAATGAACAAAAACAGAATCGTACGAAAAGTTTGATAATATTTAACGCACTTGTTGGACACGGAATGAGTATGTACAAGTGAGCGATGAATATAATACAATGCGACTAATGATAAAAAAAAATATGATGAACGAATCTCATATGACTAATCTCCCAATATCACGCGGTCTAAGCCATAAAAAAACATATATATGTAAGACGTAATTATTCCACAAACCGATACGCCAATAAAATAAAACAATTATCTCCACGCGTCGTAGTTCGAGGATATTTTATTTTTTATAGATCTATCCCGACGCAGGACTATCGTCGCGAACACGTCGAGACACGATCGGGCGCGCACTGCGGGATGATGCAGTATGCGTCGCTTATCGTACCGGGCAGCTCTTTGATCCCGCCGACGACGGGATTCTTTCTCTTTTAAACTTAGTTTTTCGTTTCCGTTCACCGGTACCGCGTTCCGCTTCCCGAACTTCCCACCGGATGCCTCGGTTCTCCGACGAGGAGTCTCAATTTTTCCAGAAAGTTACGAGGAACTGTGGCGATTTTATAGTCCACTTACCGTCGCCAGGCGATCGGTCGTTTCCCCACATCTCCCTGGGCCTCCACCAGGAGATTTGCACCAGAACGTCTCCACCGGCTTTCCCCTCCGTCAGCAACTTCCCCAGAGTCCCTCGTCCCTTTCGTTTCTGCGTAGTTTTCCGCTTCTCTCGATCGACGTCTTCTCACATCCCGCGTCAGCTTGCAACTGCCTGCTTTGCTTTTTTCTCAATTTCAAGCGTTATCTACCTTTCGCGACGCTTCCTGATTCGCTGTCAGCCCCGGCCAATCGCAGTCGCGCCTCGCTTTTGTATCAGCCTGAGTCTGTGGTGCCACCTACCGGAGGTCTTCTTTACTTTTCTTCCGGTCAGCCGCGCTCCCTTACGCGGGCTGAACCTCCGGTTACATGGCTACCTGAGATTTTTCATCTCATGACTGTGTACTATTTTTTGTCTAGTTAACTAATTTTTCTAGTACCAGCCATTAAAAGAAGTGAGCGTTACATTCCGAGCGAATGGACAGCTAGTAAGCGATGTAAAATCCACCTTTCTTCGTCACGACTGGACAACCGTTAGATTCAATTTCTGCTCAGGTCCTGAGCGATCGACTCACGGGACACCCTGTATATCTACGACGAGCATGCTAATCTAGACGAGCGTTCGCATCGGCCTCAGTTGGCAGGCCTGTTTCGCAGCCCGCTTTCGGTCCCCTCGATTGCCTGTTCCGGCGAGGAGGATGAAAATAGGGGGGCTGAGCGAACGGCCTACCGCCGAATGTTTTGCCCTATTGTTCAGAATGTCGCGGAAAATGAGGGATTTGCAGTGAGATTTCAATCGGATGAAAAGCGGGCTCTCCGGCGGCGATGCGCTCTATGCTTATCGGGATGGGCCTTTGCCAGGAGCGCAGACTGCGGTAATACCGGTGGAAAACGTCGAGGGAACCAACGGACGGCTCTTTGTCATGGACATGCAAGCCTCGAATGGTAACGCATTCTGTTTCCACACGGCGGCGTATTCCGGCCGAGCGTCTGCACGCGGCCGGATTCTCTCTCCCGCGCTCGTCCGTCAACGCGCGACGACGATTCGACGCGCGCGAGAGAGAGAACAGGTTAAATCGTACCACTCCGGCGTCACTTTTCGATGTAAACGACACCGTTGATGTTTATGTGATTCAGCGCGACGATAACGCATCCGATGCCAACTCCGTACAACCCGCGTCTGTCTCGCGGTTATTTATCGCACGATTATTACGTGAAGTCTAATTATAATTTGTGCTTCGAATGTTCATTACAGCAAGCTGGTCGGGATCACGAACGATCCCGAGGCTCGCACGGACGAAATGTGTTCTAGCTGTATAAGAGAAAAAAAAAGTCAGATCTTTGCTCTGACCGATTGGATTTAAGAGTTAACGGCGGGCTAATTGCGTGAATGTAGAAATGGATGTTTCTGTGAATGCAGTGTTTACTCCCATCCCTGGATATTCCGAGCTAGGGATGATATGGATGGGGGATGTGATGGTGCACAGGGAGGCCACTCATGAGCTCACCATGTTGGATCCCAGTCACACCGAAAACTCCTTTTACTCGCACAGTTCGCATCCCTACGAAGACATCGGAAGTCACATCACACCTACCACCATGGTACGCTATATACCCCAACAATTCTCAAACGAATGTCCCGAACCTGATGAAGCGATGGAGGCTGCGGATGCCGCTGAGATACAGCAAGTATGTCGAATTCTTTAAGCACAAGAAAGAACCTATGTTGTTATCTAATTTTCTCGACTTTTATCACACGTGTATTTATGTTATTGTTTTTATATACTAACACATGTATACACACGTCGTACGGTATATGTATGAATATTCTTCATTCAGGAATATGACTCACAAGCCGAAAGATCGGAAATGAGCGAATATTTGACACTGGAAGACTATATAGGCGACGAGGAGCGTGAGCAAATTGTGAACAATGCGGCGACTCAAACTACTCAAGACAATCGCAATCGGAAGATAAAGCCTATAAAGCATCCCGGACTCATATTGAAAACACCAATTGCTTACCAACCTCACACCGATTTGAATTTCATTCCTATTCGCAAAGATGGTATAGGTGAGCACAGTTTTGTAGAATATTCATTGTATCTGTCTCGAATTTCACGTTGACACGTATCGCACAGCTGTTTGTGAAAAATGCGGCGCTATTGGCGTCAAGCACGCATTTTACACAAAAGAGCGTAGATTTTGCAGCAGGGCTTGCGCGCGTTCCTCGGAACATACCGCTGATTCGACGTATCCGTCTTTGGTGGATCAGCTGGCGTCTGGCCGGTACCAAATGTCTCTTAAACAAAACGCCTCCGAAACAAAAGCACCAATGGATGTAAGACGGTGTTTCATATTCCATCCTGGGCGATAAATCTGTGAGAAAATGTCGCGACGATATACATTTTCAGGTGGTTGTAAAGGAAGAAGTGGATACCAAGGAACCTATTGAGCTGGAGAAAGACAAGGTGAAGTTAGAGCCGGTAATGCCTGAAGATTTACCAGTCAGAAGGAAGAGAACGGCTGACATGGCTGGCTCTTATGACTGGACGTCGCAGCTTACCGAGACTGGGTTTTGTGCGGCGCCAGTTTCTTGTTTTAAACATGTGAGTTCTCGCGAAGAGTTTTCACTTTTACATCACACGTATGTGTTTGAAACACTTGTTTACGTGAGAGTTCTTGAATATACTACAAGATTGCCTGCAAGTTTTTTGTCGTTTATGCGATTGTGTCGTGAATTTTAGGCTCCTATATCAGAAATATGGGACAATATTACAGTAGGTATGAAGGTAGAGGTAGAGAATACCGACTGTGATGAGGTGTGCGAGGCTTTCCCGGACTCTTTCTGGGTTGCAACTGTATTACGTATATGCGGATATCGAGCTCTGTTGAGGTACGAGGGTTTCGGGCACAATGCGGACAAAGATTTCTGGGTGTCTCTTTGCTCGAACGACATTCATCCTGTCGGTTGGTGTGCTACTATTGGGAAGCCTCTTATTCCACCCAACAGTACGTAAATCATCGAAATTATCTCCCTCAACGTGTGTCCAAGCGCGATTGTGAGAAAAAAAGAAGATCACAGAGTGTGGTGAGACGTGAGGTAAGTCTGACGTGGGAAATTTCTTGTGTCGCAGCAATCGCAGACAAGTACAAAGACTGGAAGGATTTCCTGATGAGGCGATTGACCGGGGCGAGAACGTTGCCGACGAATTTTTACAACAAGGTGAACGACAGCATGAAGTCCCGCTTCAGATGCGGCCTCCACTTGGAAGTAGTGGACAAGAATCGAATCTCGCAGGTGAAGGTGGCGACGATACAGAAGATCGTCGGCAAGCGTCTTCATGTACGATATTACGACTCGCCTCCGGAGGATAATGGATTTTGGTGCCACGAGGACTCGCCTCTCATACATCCCGTCGGTTGGGCCAAAAGAGTGGGTCAAGCGTTGGACGCGTATCCCGAATACCTGAGCCGTGTCTCCAGGTGTAAATTGTCCGAGGACGATGCGACGGAGGGTCTCTTTTACGTGCCAAAGAATTACCACGCGCATCTGGGGTACATGTTCAAGGAGGGGATGAAGATAGAAGCGATCGATCCGCTGAATCTTTCGGCCATATGCGCGGCGACGATAATGCAGGTTTTGAAGGAGGAGTACATCATGATACGTATCGACAGTTACGACGAGGATGCCAGCGGCGCTGATTGGTTCTGCTATCACTCGTGCTCGCCCTGTATCTTCCCGGTTGGCTTCTGCTCCCAGCACGGTCTACCGCTGACGCCGCCAAAGGGTTACGATCCCACCGCGTTCACGTGGGACGCCTATTTCACGGAGACCAACACCACACCCGCTCCCAGGCAGTTATTCAATCGGGTGTGTTTTCACTGCGCGTTGTACACCTTAATATGAGCGCGAACCGCTGTGCCAGAGGTGTCCCGGCGAAAATCCAAATATTTTCCTACGTTCTCGCGTGTCTCCTCCTCTTCGACGGTCTGCCGAAGAGTAGTATCTTTGCCACGAAAATCCCTCCCACTGCCGTTCGGGATCGGCGTTAAGTCGCAGGTCCCGTAGATTTGTGCGCGAGAAAAGAGGTAGGCCCCGCAAAGGGCTGCAGCATCAGGGATATGACGATACTCCTTAATGTAGCCTTCGATTTAGTTTATTCGTTTGTAGCGCGCCGAATAACTTGGTGTATTTGTTGTACAGGAAATTCCCCAGCATGGATTTATCGAGGGGATGAGGCTGGAGGCCGCGGACTTGATGGATCCTAGATTAGTTTGCGTCGCTACTATCACCAGGGTGATTGGCAGGTTACTACGAGTACACTTTGACGGTTGGGAGGACGAATACGATCAATGGTTAGATTGTCAAAGCCCGGACATTTATCCCGTCGGATGGTGCGATCTGGTCGATCACAAATTGGAAGGGCCGCGCGTACTCGCTAAAAACACTAGTCCTACTGGTAGGTATATCCTTACGTACTGATTGATATACTCGTTAGTTTGGTGTGTGTGTGCGTGTACCTTCTCATCCGCAGTAAAATCACCGAGAGGCCTTAAACGTAAAGCTAAGAGAAAACTGAAGAAAGGCAAGTTATCTTGCGCGAAAAATATACTACCTCGTCAGAGCGAACGTATTAGTATGGCTCGCGAGCGCGAACGGGAATTGGAGCCCGCTCAAGGCACGAAGATCGAGAGGGAGCGCGATCTGGAGAGTTTGCCGGAGCAGAGAAGCAGAGAACCGGAACCGGCGGAAGAACCAGCCGGGCCCGACCAAACTTTACCGAGCCCGACCACCGGGCAAGGTCAAGCGTTGAACGACACTCAGAGCGAGGTGCAGAATCCTTCGCCTCCCAGAGAAAGAACCGCCACATCATACGTCAACGTGAGTGTGATTCCGTCCGTTTTATCCGGATTGATTGATGATTGTCGAATTAATATCCGATTTCTCCGCGTCTCTCGTTCATAGGTTACTACGGCGAGTAGTAAATACATACCAAGGTTAGCCGATGGTGTGCACAAAAGTTCGGAATCTGGTGACTTAGTGCCATCTGAATGGAATGTCTTCGACGTTGCGCAATTCCTTCGTGTCAACGATTGTGCGACGTACTGCGACAACTTCAGCAAACGTAAAATAGACGGGAAGACATTACTGACACTGACTAAGGACCAAATAATAGACTTGACCGGCTTCAAGGTCGGACCGTCTTTAAAGATTTACGATTTAATTCAGCAATTGAAAATCAAAGTGAATCCAGCTCAGGAAAGGTTGAAATTAGGATTGAAGAAATTATTATAACAAAACTAGTACATATATAGTTAGTTGTATGAACACAAGTTTCATCTCATTATACAAATTACACATGGATTTACAGGTAAGGCATGTGAAGTAACGGCGCGTTGAAATCACCCCCCCTTCCCCCCGCCCTCCCCCCCGTCTCACTATGGTATCGCATACGTTATTTGTTATACACTTTACTAATGTACTGAAACAAAATGTTTGTATGTAGTTTCTTTATAGTCTAAAAAATGATGGCGCAAAATTTAGATGCCGTGTGATTACTATGAGTTCGAAAGAGATCGTTCCATTCTGGAAAGCAATTTCATCATTAATTCGATCGTGTGTTTCGCACTAATTTCATTAACCGATTGCAGTCTCGAGAACATGATTTCACGATCGATGCGGATAACGGCGCGAGAACTCGTTAGAATCTCGGGAAAAGGCGGTGACAAACTAGGAGATCCGAGATCTTGTTGCGTGTCTTTTCTCTAATTGTGAAAAGATCCGAATCGAGACGCGTTTAAATCGGTAGTATTACAAATGGTTATACAAATAGACGAGCCTCGAGTTTAGACACATTTATCGCTAACACACATGATATGTGAATATGAAACATAAAAAATACATGCAAAATATAAATACATATATTTTAATTCATGTCATTTCTTTCGTACATTAATAATTTAAACATGCATTTAGTGTCGTAAATCGCACAGAAAATTAAAGAGCATTTTGTACGCCGAATTGCCAATTTGCCGCATTGTTCAGACAGAATTTGGATTCGAAATGCAACTTTCGTACACGTTATTAAATCTTGTCAATTAACGTAGTGGTTACCAGTGACGATATAGTTTCATCGACGCAACTCTGGCTTACGTGTATAATACGGGAAATAAATGGCGACTCTCCAGCGTAAAACTGCGTTCCAGAATGGACTTAAGAGTAGTCATGACAGCATCTATTTTTTTATATAATGTCCATATAGAGAGTATGGTAGAAGAGATTTGAAATTAACATTTTTTCACAATATGTGATGATGTCATACATTTTATATATATAATATATATAAATAAAAATATAAATATATATTTATACCTGATACGTGTAAGGAAAGCTCGATGTATATATATTGCACTTATGCATATTCATAAACACACGTGACATATTTTTTGTAACGCTTTTTTTTTTTCTTTCTTTCTTTTACCGAAGTTTCTCTTCCACGAACTACACGGCATTATTTGTAAATCCATGCTGCTCCACGTTGCATCGCATTAGGACGCATCAGCCATACTTGCAGATAAACGCCAGATATTGAGATGGTTTCTCCCTGTATAAGACAAGACAAGAGTTCCGAGCGCGTATTTTACGCAGAGTAAATTAATACAGATATATTGAAAATATATGAAAAACTAACCGCGCAAAGTACAAAGGATAATTTTCTTTATCGATCCAATATCCGATTGATGTTAAACTTGTTGACGGATGATACACACAGCGTTTACAGGGAGATATAGTTCTGTCTATTTTAATAAATCTCTATCAATTCACTCTGTATCTCATACACATACAGGGGAGATGTATACTCTTACAGTTGTATATAATAACCAGAGAGAGAGAGAGAGAGAGAGAGAGACGAGAGGTTTGAACATTAGACGTCTAAGTCTTGTATATATACGTATATAGCGTGATGTTAGGTTTAGTCATTCTCTCTGCAACCATGACACGCCTTATAAGGCGCAAAACTATCGTATAGAGTGGCTGATGCGTGCGTGCGGCATATATAGTATGCATATATTGCTTAATCATCTCGACGACGAATCAAAGCAATCGAAGCTAAAGGATACCGCATCAGCCCTTGAATACTATTTTAGTACTATGGCAATAAAAAAAACAATCCGCGGTTACTCGTATTATTTATTCGAACGGTCTGGAATCTTTCTAGAGAATGTATCTCTTCTCGTGTGTTTCTTTCAGAAAGATTATTCGGGTAAACGCGAACGGACAGTCGTCAGTCAACATTGTACAGTATATGAATGAATGATCACAGAATCCGACACACTCGTTACTCGTGCGACAAGTGAAATTCCTCTCTGTATTCAACATGCGCCGTCAAACGAAAGCACCTGAGAGATTCCGATCTTTGTTTCGTACGGTCGAATTCTCCCCGAAATCAATCAGCGACACGGATGTTCGTTCGGGCTCTGAGATTACGCCGCATCGTTGTTCGAGATTGATTCTATCACTTGAAAAGTGACCGTCGCGATCTGATTATTTTTATTTGAAGCTGCGAATACGCGGAGGGTCGGATAAATTATGGTTGAAATTTGTGATAAGATATCTGCGGCTACGTTCAGGAGTTGATTACGTGCACATTAGCTATCTGTTCAGATTTTAGCGAGGTGAAGCCGACACGTGGAATTTTAATAAGAAGTCTCGTCACTTGACGCTCGATTCTGCGCAGTTTTTTGCGACAACTCGTGTAAATTTACGTTTTCTTAGCCGAGTAAGAGTTACGCGCAAGTACAAATCAAAAGCAATATCGAGTTAAGTTCTCGAGTTCGCATTGCGACGCTTTCGTATTTCCGCCCGCATGGTGGATTGCGATGATTGTTTTCACAATCCTAAATTATATGGAATTATGTTGCGTTTCAACTTCCAGAGCTCGCTGTTAACTTCGTACAATTTGAAAGAAGCACTGTGTAATAATGAGGAAAATAATGATTGCGAAACATGTGTGAACAATGACGTAGAAGTGTTCGTTTACTCGAACGACGATCAACGCCAGAGAGAGTTCGAAGGTATACTGTAAAATTATATAAAGATATTTATTAGTTACGTTACACACACGGTCTTACCCCTCTATGCCGTATTGCGGCTTTACATATCAGTTTCACGATTTATACACGCCTCACCTTTCTTATTGCGGCATTAGACTTACGAGAGAATGTAACATTCCACGTTTCCGCGTGTGTTTATGGAAAAAGGGGCGATAGAGGGTTAAGAAAATAAAATGGATATTTGTCAGGAACTGTTACAGATCATTGCGGAACTGCATCGTTAGTTTTAGCCGGTTCCCTCGGTTTAGATTCGTCGCGTGATTCTCAATAAAAGGATGAAACCTGACATCCGATTTGAGATTGATGAATCGCGTTTACGAATGAAGCGCGAGAATATTTTTGCGCTCCGTCGACCTATTTTCCTCGATAAAATTCGATATCACGATACGAGTTATCGTTTGAAAGTGCCACCGTCGCTTCGAATCGACAAGGCATTATCGGGAAATCCAGGAATATTCGAGTGAAGACTCGCGGGTATCGATCGTCGCGAGAATATCTCTCGCTGGTAACGCGAATTCGCGGAGACCCCGCGTTATCAGCGGAGCGAGATCAATCGGGCCCTCTTCCCGCGGGATGTCGTGCCGATTCGCGGTTATTCATCGCGAGGAAGGGGCGCGTATCGATTCGTACGATTCACGGCGCGTGCAAATAGCGTCGAGACGCCCGCGGCGTACGTGAGATTAAGCGACGCACACACGGCGTCTGTAAGCTGGAATGCGCGAGGAGGCGAGCGGCGGCGCGTCCACCTCGTGAACGCTCCGGTGACGCGTCGAGTCAGCGAGCGGCCGGCATCGACGTCGAGGAGGTGGTGGTGGTAGTAGTGGCGACGGTGGTGGGAGCCGTTCGTTGTGTGTAAACCCGATGACCGTAGCCCACCGTAGCGTACAGATGGTCTGCTACGTGTATACGCTACGTTCACGGTGGAGGGGGAGGTCTACTAGACTGGCGTATTCTATGGGCGGGGCTTTAGCCAGCTGGCAGATGTTTCCCGCGCGGCCGCGTCACTCCTCTAGCGTAAAGGTACGCGACGGCAAGTAGTTCCCGGGTCGGGCGGCCGAATATCCGGCGCGGTACGACGAGCGGTTGGACGGGGCGAAGCGACGAGCGATACTCGACGGCACCGAGGAGGAAAACGGCCGGGATCGCGAGTCGATCGCGAGGATGAGCTGACGAGAGATCGGGCAGCGTTCAGGGCAGTGCGAGGCGCGCGTCACCCCGGGTCGCGTTCAGAGAGAGTCGGGACTTTCGTCTCTCCCGAGGGAACTCGAGCACATCCTCACGGCCGTCCGAGCGTGTGCGATACGTACGGCGTGTGTGCTCTCGTGCGTGGCGCGCGCGCAGGACAATGTCGGTGAGTGCGTGAGAGGGTCTACTTGCCGCGCGCGTCGCGCGATGTTTCCACCGGTGTGCGTGGACGACATACGGGGAGCGTCGTACGCGCGTCTCAACCGGGCGGCTCCCGACGAGTCGGTAAACAAACAAGCGTGAGACCAGCGGTTTTTTCTCTCTCATCCTCCCGTGGTGCGTCGGCGGCATTCCTTCCTGACTTTCGACGAGAAGGCGTTCGTGATTGGACGACGAAGTCGGTCGGTCGTTTCGCGAATGAACGGCAGTGACTGCGAAGAGAGCCCAGCTGAGAGCGGCCGAATCGACTAGCGACGCCCCTGACGCCGGCGGCGGAGTGATCCACGGCGCGTCGTGGGGGCCCTCAGCTGTTTCCCGCCAAAGATCGCCATTACAAAACGCGTTCGGGCGTTGTGTGTGCGCGGAGCGTGTGACTGTCTCGTGGACGAGTGAGTCTCGAGTGCGTGCCACCGGCGTCGTCGGCGTTGAGAAAAAAACGGGCATCGTCGCGAGCACGGCGCCAGCCGGGGAAAGTGGCGACGCGCGAATGTAGTATATATATATATATATATCGCGTTATATATCGAAACGGCGACGTGTGTTTGGTAAAACGCGCGTTATTTGTCCCCCTCCCTCCGCCCCCGGTGGAGTGCGCGGTCGGGCGAACGAACGAGCGGACGGACGAAGCAACGGCCGGGCCGAGAAAGAGCGACAGGGAGGGAAGATAACAACCACAGAGAGAAGAGCAACCGTCCCGGTCTCGGTCTTCTCGCAGCCCCGCGACGACGACGGCCGTGTCGGGGACGTGAAATTCGCTCGACGGGACCCTCGCCGCGGACCAACGAGATATGTCAGTGTTTGGTGGTGACGATCGGATTTTGCTCGAGGAAATCGTCGAGGTGACTGAGCAGCCGGAGGCTGAACTGTGCGGGTGAGTCTCTTCCATCTCTGCTATCTCCGTCGGACGGGATGAAAAAAATAGCACGCGCGCGTACCAGCGATGAGTGTGTGAGAGAGAGAGATTGGTGATGACGGTGGATGCCACCGCCATGTGTCGATGTGTGCATGCGTCTGTATATACATATATATATATATATGCATGTATACGTATATACTGTATGCCCGCGTTTGACACGGCGCGCGGACGGAGAGAGTAGAGCGAGCGAGAGAGAGCGAGCGAGCGAGCGCGATAGGTAGAGCGAGAAGGCACGAGAAGGAAGGACGATCTTTATTGGCTCTTGAAAGAGTGTCGTGTCCGACCCGCTTATCGCTTCAACCTGTTTGCGAGCGTAACGTAGCTGCCGCCGTGGCATCGGGGCGGCGGCATATCGACGTCGCCGTTCGCGCTGTATATGTGTGTGTGTGTGTGTGTGGGTCGAGCCGCGCGCGAGAGAGCGAGTACAGCTGTTGAAGCCGGCCGGCCGGCCGGCCGGCGCCCGTCCGATATCCGGCTGCTGATGTGTGTGCGTGTGATGATGACGCCGCTTCGTCGGCAGCCGCCGTCTCCGTCGTCATCGCCACCGCCGCCGCCGCCGCTTTCCGCTGGAAACGCAGGGACGCGTAGCGCCGCGTCGCTTTGCGCCGGACCGCGCGAGGAGTCTCCTCCGCGTTCACGCCCAAACAAGCATGGCGTGCGGCAGGCTCGCATCCTCTCGCGACGGCGGAGCGCAGCTGAAATTCCTTTTGTGCGCCGCGCAGCACGTCTATCTCTTTTTCCACTCTAAGCGTGATATCGGTTCATTTCTTCTCCCCTTCTCCCCCCTGTTTCTCGAGATTTACGCCCCCCTGTGCGCGCGTAAATCTCGGGGGATAATTAATATAAATGGACGGGGAGGTGCGACGGAGGGGGGGGGGATGTTTTCCGAACGAAATGTTCGCCGGACGCGTCGGTGTTATCCTTTTTGGGTTTTTTTTTTCAATCGACCATCTTCCTACGTTACGTTCGGTTCCTACACTGCGTTATTCGGACTGCGCGATACTCGCTTTCGCACGAATCGACAGAAAAGTCTGGTACCATCGTTCGTCTTTATTTCGCATTTGCCAAAGAAAAAGATGATATAACCAGACTCGCGTTGACTTTTGGGTGTCTCTTGCTGGAAAGCAAGCTATGATGCATCAGCGAGCAGGGTTATGTAAATCGCGCGCGTTCGAACGGACCGGCCCGGGTTTCGTTACGCGCAGAAACGCAAAATTATCTCGCAAAATAATAAAACGGTTCGCCCCGCCCCGGTTCGTATGCCGAGTCATTTTTCCTTTTTATTTTCCTTCTTCTTTTTGCGTCTGTGCGTACAGCGTGAGATTTTTTGTCTCGCGCGGTTTGAGTACAACGATCGTAGGACAAAGGAGCAGGAAGACGAGGAAAGTGTGTTCTTTTGTGCACAGCCGAGTGACCGACAGAGCCGGGGTATATGCGCCGCGTGCGTTACGTAAAGCGCCGCGTTTGTTGCACAATAATCGGTTTCTATAAATAACACGAAGCATACCGCGCGCTTCGGCTTCCCGACTTCTTGTTTACATTACGCTCATCACCGTTGCGCGCGTTCGTTTGCACGCGCGCGCGACTTGCGTGCCGCATCCTTCACTCGCAGATCGCAGTTACAATCTCACTCATGGCACGTGAAAATACACACACACACACACACACAGAGTCGTGCTTTTGCATATTTCTGTCGAATCTGTATGTATCTTTGGGAACCCGTTCATTTCTAGAAATAACGTTATTATCGCCACTGTGTATTCATAGGCAGATAAAGAGTTGTCAGTGAGAGATTTTGTAAAATAACGCTCGGCTGCCTTGGTGTTTACACCTTTTACGCACACACGCGTTAATTCGAGCGAATAATTGTTGATTGTTGTGCTCTTCCCGCGCTTGTTTAATTCGTGTTACGCTTTATCCGACGGCGTACCGAATGCCTATCGATTCGCAGGAACAAGTCGGAGATGAAAACGCGTGTAAACGTTTATTTTTTATTCGATTTATCTCTGTCCGCAGGACAGTCACTTTCTCTCCGGACGCATCATTATGAAGCATCCTATATAGATAACGCAACGGCATAATATTTTTATGCCGGATGAGATATCCCGCAAAAATACTCGTTAAATCTCGCGCGCGCGCGCGCGCGCGCGTGTGTGTGTGTTGTGTGTGTGTGTGTGTGCTTTACGTTCCTACATCGAATCACTCGCTGTCATCGTCATTATCACGTCATCGTAGTCCGCCGATGCGGAAAAAAGTGTGCAACGTCGTTGTGCATATGGTGTAAAATATGTGAAACAGCGTACGCCATGTTGATAAAACGAAGTGCGTCGCCGTGTTGCGACTTCACATACGTGAACGGATTATTACGATTGGTATCGAGCGTAATAAAATCAACATTGCACGCGACATACCTAATGAAGTAATAATCGTCCTTTCTCATGCATCATTACTTTTCATTGCATTATTCATACGTTTCTAATCGCGATGCCAGCAGCGAGAATCGATGGCGGACCGAACGCATTAATGTGCCCACGAATTATGTAACCTATCATTCATTGTTTATGCTGTATTATCTGATAACGTCATTACGCGGGTTTCGCGCCACGATAAATCCGTGGTTAGGGCGCGACGAAAGAGAAACGAAAGAGGGAGAGAGAGAGAGAGAGAGAGAGAGACTATTATCCAAACTTGCCTCGTTCGGAATGTATAACTTTGACACCGAAGTTCGCCGTAACGCACGAAATCACATCAGATATGCGCTTATCCGACTAATCGCTGCAAGTACGATATCAACCCGTTAACACAGCAGCTGTCGTTGTTGCATAATCAGTTCACGGTTCATGCAACTCGCGTTCGCGATAAATTTTCAGCTGCGCTGATAAAAGCGATTGATTTTCACCCGCTGTTTACCGGTTTATTGAAAATAGCTTAAGAGTCCCGCGAATGACGTTTTCGCGCGCGTCGGTTTTGCAACGCGACCGACGCGAATACAAACCGGATACTATATGCGTATACCGTTTTTTCTCGCTCCATTTTTTCACATTGTTCTCTTCTGATTAGCCGGCGCTTAGGTTCGCGCCTGATTACGCAACTGTCCACTTTTACATTCCAATCGTGCGCGTCGTGTTTTTAATTACGAACACCTTGAATAATGCAAACGAGCATACGATCGAGATTTCGCAATCGCGCGTACATTTTATCCGGCATTTTCTTCGTGACAACACGACGATGTAAACAGTCGTATGTACACGCGGCATTACCGCACAATATACGCTTCCGTAATTAATATGCATGTATCGCGGCACGTAAGTACCGTCGCGTATATCGATCAAGATAAAGATTAGCGGCGTAACCGGCGTCTCTTTGAGCGATATTTATCTGCTGAGCGTGCGACAGCAACGCGAGCTATCTCGCGCGGATAGCGCGATAAACGGATTCTTTTATGTCGCATACATTGAATCACGACTGAGAGAGAAAGAGAGAGAGCGAGAAAGAACGGCCCGCATTCCTGCTCAAAGACGAAGCGTTCTCTCTCTCTCTCTCTCTCTCCCGTGCAGTTTTCCCATACGCACTCGCTCGCGACTTGATAAACAGAATGGGTCGAGCCAATCCTGACCATAGTCAATGTAGAGACACCATATCACACGTACGTCGCTTTTTAAGTACGCGCCTAAGTAACGCCGGTAACATTGTAACGTTGTCGTGCCGTCGTCGGTGGCTGCAATCGAGGAGAAGCGCGATATAAATCGAGAGGCGTGACACGTAGAGCAAGATGCAGCGAATGAGTTATATATCTCGTGCACGATATACCTACTTGCACCGGGTTAACCTCTGCATTCGGGTGCGCGTGCACTCGGCGGAGGTGCATGTCGTATAACGCGTGTCCGTTCCACGGCGCAAATCACGGACGCATCGTACGCGCATCCGAGAAGGCGCTGAACGTGACGAGCTGTTATGGCGCAGTCTGAAAAACGTAGCCGTTAAGAGTGCAGATTCTACTCGGGAATTTGCCCTCGGTTGCTTTAATTGTATCGTTGGGCGAAATGATATTTTTGTTTTTTTTTTTCAGCGAAATTTAAGTATTTTGCTTGAAAGACCAGTGAATTCTGGTATGTCGGTTTTCCGAACAAACCCTGTTCTCTTCGCACGTGTTTCAGCGACAGAATAGAGATTGTCACGAGGTTTAAAGTGATTTAAGAACTCGCTCTATAAAATAATATAATTATTTGCCACTGATTGGTTAGTTGAATTTCCAAAGGAAGATAGCTTAGGACAAACTTCCAGTGCGACGAAAAGTCAGACGATGCTGAAATAACACAATCGAGCGCGCGCTTGCTAGCAGAAACTGACACTTTAGCGTCAATTATTGTACACAGCAGACGAAATTCATGTTCTGCGTGACAGAATTCAATATTTTACAGCCGAGATGTGTGAGATGTATCGGTTTACCACGCCAGTTTTCCTCTACACTTTGGGTACGGTCGAAACAATAATATAACAATTGACGGAAAACGTTGTAGCGTACAGGTGAGGACTATACGCGTTCCCATCGTCCGTCTGTTAATGGCGTTAACGGTGTCGCATTTAGGCATTAATTATTGGCCGTCGAAGGGAGAGTTACGATCGTCGGGAACGTCGCGTGCACGTCGTGAAATCTCTCTCTGTCTGTCTCTCTCTCAGTCGTTTAAACGGCTTCGTCTAGGAATGGACTTAACACCTGCCGCATGATTTTTTCCAATCTCGTTATCCGTCGTATTTCCCGCCGGCCAAGTTAACCGGGTTGAACAACTCCGTTCTCTCCGCGATAAACTAAACGATTCTATCGGTTTCCGAGCCTTATCGCCCCCTCATGCAAATACTACGGCGATTGATAGCTCGCTGTTTGCGGTATAACGTCCGTAATAGATAGGAGAGCGCCGTGATAGACGTAAGTGGACAAAACTGGTCTTTATTTG